TGTGACGAAACGCTCTAGAGAACTTATAAGTAGCACAAAAACTATCACTGGCAAAAAGAATGAAGTCTATATTAAACAAATAGAAAAAAAATATTTGTATGAAACAATGTCAATAAAAAGTTTAAACTAAAAAAAGTATTGACTGATTGCAGGATAAAAAATATAAATATAAATCGATTTTCAAAAATGATCACAATACCAATGACGTAAACTTCAATAAGATTCGCTTCACACATCTTTCAATTTTAGAACATGAAGAAATAAACTACTCCATTCAAATTTGATTTGGATCAATAGATCTACTTATCAAGATATAAGCTATTAAATGTATACCATTTTCTCGGCCAAAATTTAAAAAATAATAAAAACAAAACGTAAAAGAAAAAAAAACCAACAAAAATACCATTGAGTCACTTAATCAGTGTGGACATTTAATAAGGTGTTGTGTTGACTAATAATGTATATAATTTTGCTTTCATTTTTCTAATATGTAATGGTAGCTTATATTATATCAAATGTTTCGGATTTTTTGCTATTTAGTTTTTTCTTTGCTTTATTACTATACTAATACCGTTCAACGTGGGGTAAACCACATTGGGTTTTGACCAATAACTATTTTATAAAATACTAGCGTACCCGTCCCCAGCGCGTTGCCGCGGGATAGAAGAAAGTCTGACGAAATATATTAGAAGGATTTCATCAATGCGTTACCAATCCTATAATCGTAGACTCGTGACCTTGTTTTCTAAAAGTGAGTTATTTAAATGTAAACAATGCCTGTGCTTGGATAATAAATATCGGGACACTACCGCATGAAAACCTTGAGTGTATATTAATCACTCACCGAAATAATATGGTAGAACACAATTCGGTGACCGTCCATGTGTCGGAGACGTAGAGGGGCGTCATTCACTAAAGTGACACAAATGAACAGGATTTGTTATTTAACACGTAAACAAATTATTTGACGTGTTTTAAACATCAGTGTGACTGATGCAATATGTTAGTGTTATTAATGGTCTATTCCTAGATGCTCGATCTTAATTTCTGATTGGATTATCTAAAAATATATGCTAATTGCATCTTTCGCAAAGTGACGAAACTGTTTGGATTTTTTACGGACAAAAAGAAACATCCCAGTTAATAATCTAACCTTGGTTAATTTTTCTGATTATTAAAATAAAACGTATTACATGGCCCTCAGCGGCCCATGTGAGGTTTTGGAAGCCGAAACAGAAATTTTTATTTGCAGACAAATCGCACCCTACCAGGGCGCCGGCGGACACGCCTGATTTAATTTAGCGAGTGTTTGTAACGCCCTATCCTATCACACTCTCTATCACACTGTTTAGACCGAACGTAGTCGCCATAGCGTTCACGGGAAAGACCAGGGCGCAGTAATAACACTTACCCTTTGGAACCTTGGGGTGCGGGTGAAGTAGAATTCATCAGTTTCAGTGTCCTCGGTATAAAAAAGGATTGTGTGGTCAACATCATGCCTAGCTACCGTTACTTTCACTTGTTTCTGTGACCTCGGCATATGAAGGTACAGTGTGGTCAGCACTATGCCCAGCCCACTTTAATTTCCCTAACGTGAGTTAGGTACCCATCAGAGTTGAGTGGACTAAGAGACGGTCTACTGATTTGAACCCGGATTTGAACTCGAGACTTACGGATTTGCAGTCCAGCTCTCTACAAGAGAACCCTACTTCATTTGCCCCGTAGATCGTCAGGTTTGAAAGGAAGCTTTATTTTCTTTACTTACCGTTACTTTCAATAGCGTCTGTCAGGTATCAAATAGAATTAGGTGGGATCGGAGACTTATGCGGATTTAAACCCGAAATCCGTATTCGAGACTCCAGGTGCTGCCGTGTGCTCTACCACTCGTCCTCGCCATTCATCTGTTAACTCTTAAAGGACTTCGAGTTGAGCATTAGAGCGTCAGGGGTATCACCATCCTGTAGGTGCTACATTACTGCGCCATTTGTCTTTCCATTACTGTAAGTATTACATTACAGCGTCAGGGGTATCTCCATTCTTGCGTCAGTAGTCTCGATCCTGTATTTGCTACATTTCTGCGTTATGCACTCTCCACCCCTGTAGGTGTTACATTACACCGTCAGCTCTCTCCATTACTGTAGGTGCTACATTACTGAGTTAGTGATCTCTCGATCTCCCCAGATGTTACAGTTACAAAAATGAGTCATTAGTTTTTCAAGCTTTGTCAATATTGCTAAACGCTTGCTAAATATGCATGGTTGATCGAAGTACATTGTGAAACAAGTGTATCATCAATTACTATTGAATACATAAAATATGTCCGGAATAATAAGTAGATCCATGGTTATGGTAAAGTTGTGTGATTTGGTAGACAAAAGTTGTGTGAGCAGGTAGACAAAAGTTGTGTGATCAGGTAGACAAAAGTTGTGTGAGCCGCTAGACAAAAGTTGTGTGAGCCTCTAGACAAACGTTGTGTCAGCAGGTAGACAAAAGTTGTGTCAGCAGGTAGACAAAAGTTGTGTCAGCAGGTAGACAAAAGTTGTGTCAGCAGGTAGACAAAAGTTGTGTCAGCAGGTAGACAAAAGTAGTTTGAGCAGTTAGACAAAAGTTGTGTGATCAGCTAGACAAATGTTGTGTTAGTAGGTAGACTAATGTTGTGTGTGCAGGTAGACAAAAGTTGTGTGAGCAGCTAGACAAAAGTTGTGTGAGCAGGTAGACAAATGTTGTGTCAGCAGGTAGACAAAAGTTACGTGAGCAGGTAGACAAAAGTTGTGTCAGCAGGTAGACAAAAGTTGTGTCAGCAGGTAGACAAAAGTTGTGTCAGCAGGTAGACAAAAGTAGTTTGAGCAGTTAGACAAAAGTTGTGTGATCAGCTAGACAAATGTTGTGTTAGTAGGTAGACTAATGTTGTGTGTGCAGGTAGACAAAAGTTGTGTGAGCAGCTAGACAAAAGTTGTGTGAGCAGGTAGACAAATGTTGTGTCAGCAGGTAGACAAAAGTTACGTGAGCAGGTAGACAAAAGTTGTGTCAGCAGGTAGACAAAAGTTACGTGAGTAGGTAGACAAAAGTTGTGCGAGTTGATAGTCAGAAAACTGTCCACGAAATAATACAAGCTGGCTGTCACTAGGTGCTTCAAAATACTCCCACATGAGAATAAATATACATTTTATCTATAGAATGTGTATTATGAAATATTTTAATTAGATTTGTATCTCTTGTCTTTGCTGACCAAAACCAGCACGCACATGCGGGAATTAACATTTTATATTGATAACATTAGCTTATCTTTTATGTATTGTAATCAGCAATGTACAACGTCACGCATTTGTTCCTTTAAATATCACTTGACTGGTGCAGGGTTTGTGTCTCAATCCACAAACAACAGAAACTTAACGAAACACAAGAGATCTGTGAAGAATGGCGTTCCTCTGGGGTCTTTCAGTCTTGATGCTGATGTCCTGCACAACCAGTACAGCAGACGACAAAGGTATGGACGCTGGAAGTTATGTACACAGATTCAAAACTATGTTGACACTAGTGAGCGTCGGACAGTTGTGTTAGAAATAAACTCCTTACACCTGAGATATGTATACAATACATGTATAGATAAATAACTTCGCAACAAGTTAATTTTATCGGAACATTAATAAGTAATTATTGCTTAGTTTGTTTTTCTAAAATGTCACTGTTGCATTGGCCGTATTATGTATATTAAAAAAAACATCTTCATCTATAGAAATCAGTAATAAAAATGATATATCATTATCTTCTAAAATGCTCGGAACACGTATACGTGTCTGTGAAATTTATTGTAAATGCAGTGTTTTTTTGTATTAAAAAAATCCAACTTTTTCTTCTTTAATAGAAATTAGTAATAAAATATATGCTTGTTTTCTAGAATACTCTGAAGCCTTTTTGAAACTTCTTTACGTTTTCAACGGGAAATTTTCTGACCGTCCTATTGTTGAAGCTTACAAGAACATAAAAAAATCGAAAGTTGACGTACCAAAACTTTTGTACGTGACGGCCACACCAGTAGAGATCCCAGCACTGGCACCGGTAGGTGTTTGTTTTATATTAAATGTTTGTTATTCTGACTGGTAGTGTTCTTTATAAGTCTAAGGATTTTGGTCTTCTGCTTTTAGTTTTAAATTGTAATGCTGGAAAAGATTTTCTTGAACCGTTTCTACTGGTTATTTTTTAAGCATATAATTTAACAACTATCTCGCTGTTGAGAACTTTTTCTTCTTCCTTGTTCTTAATTCTAGTGATTGAAAGGTTTCTCTACATTACAGTTAAGTAATATGTGTCAACTAGTTATGCGCCATATGGCCCGTTGACTTTGATTTTAGCCTGATTTTCTTTAAGTATATGCTTCCATAGCCTTTGTCCAACCAAGAACAAACTACAAGGCAGCAGTTGTTTGATTTTGGAGTTTACTCTCCTAGATGGGTTGTGGTCCCCAGCCATCGGGCTCCATCTGCTTGAAAAGGGTGCGGTGATGGTGAGGGGGTATGATCGAACTGATGATTTTAGGGTTAAGAAAACAAGAGCATTACCAACCTCACAAGGCATGGAGTTTGGTCTGCTCACGTTCCTTTAACCTTGTGTGCCCTCATTGTGTGTGTGATGTGTGTTACACGAACTGTCTATTACAATTTTTATATATTCTCTTATGTCTATTATGTTAGACAATTTCAAATAAATTAATTACATTTTAAACTTAGCATGTTATTTTGGTAATTTTATAAAACTAAAAAGTTTTTTGTCTAAATCATATAGTCTTGTTTTAATCCGTTTTCAAAGTGTATAGCTTGAGACAACAAATTTTACCCAACATCTTTGAAGTTGTGGGCCTTTTTTTGCTGATAAAAAAACAAAACTTAAAACAAAAGCTGAATCAACAACGAAATGCCTTCATTTCCCAACCCATGGTTTCCGTTCTGGATCGAAGACACATTTTTCTCTCCTTTCTATTTTGCAGGCAGTGACATTCTTCTATGAGAAATATGTTGAAAACAATCTGTACCGCCGTTTGATTCTGGTTTTTAATGAACAAAAAGGGCAGATTTTTGCACAACCTTACAACATCACAACCCCTGCTAACGATCTGTAGGTTATATTTACTTTAAACATTCACTTTAATGATATAATCTGTAAAATAGTTTCACTCATTTTTAATTTGAGTTATTTCTAGAACAACCGTATCGTTAAATCTAATATTTTAAAGGTATTTGTATTTAATTATACCTGATGATTCGGGTTTTATGTTTTTATGAATGTATTAAATAATTTGCTAAATTCAAGTATTTAAATAACCCCACTTCTTGATGATTTAGTGCTTTTAATTTGTAGATATTTGAATGTGATTTACGGCACTTTAACCCAAACAGGTCCAAGCCTTTCACCATTGACCAAGTCAAGAAGCTGACTTCAAATGACTTGACCACAACTGACGCGTGTAGAATCCAGTTCACTCGTAAGGGAGCTAACTCATTCACAGCACTCTGGCCAGATTGTAAAGTCCTCGATAATGGGGTAAAATTATTTGAATATGAGGTTTTAGTTTAGGAAGTAACAATCTTTAAAAGAAAATATGTAATGAATATTTCCAAACAGCTAAAGTTTTGAATTGTTGTCTCTTGGTCGTAAAGAAGTGGTCAACATGTTAGCCAAAATTGAGAGCCGGGTGTTAGCCCGAAGACTATTTGGCCAAATGGACATTAGCCTGCAGAAGAAAACATGAATGTAAAGTTGTAAAACTTCGTATAACAGAATCTATGTTGCAACCTTAATAGTTAAATCTTATGTCGGATTTAAAATAATGAGATAAACATGAATATAAAGTTGTAAAATTTCATATAACAAATATTATATCGCAACCGCAATAATTAACATTTATGTCGTAAAAATGTATAAAATATGCCTTAAAAATACATTTAAAGTTGTGGACTTACAGAAAACAAACGACTATCTTTATCCAGGTTTTTCCAAAATACCATCTGACCTGGTTTTGCAACTCTCTCACGGCCATCATTAGTAGCCCTAAGCATCTTGATTACACGACATCACCTGTACCTTTGACCAGAGAAGGATCAAGGTAAGACGGTCGTGTGATTAAAAACAATATTAGAGCAACAAATCTTTTTTTTTATCGGTGGCACTATAGACTACATGTGGGTCAAATTAAAAGAACTAGAGAAATTCATATTATTGCCAACTATTTCCCAAACTTGTTTGGCCTACAGTCCACTTTGTTAAAAATACTTCCCCCACAAGCCCCCTAATGTTTACGGAAATCTGTTACTGATTGAATAGAGACACGGAGCGATAAATGTATGCTTTTCATTCTTTATATCTCTATCTACTACTAATTGGTCCACATAGTGAATAAAAATAACACATGAAAGTTAAATGATTTAATCAATGCAATCAACATAAACATTTATATTATATGCAAATAAGTTTATAAAATGAAAACACAAATTAAAATAGCGTGAAAACAATACTCATGAGAAAATTGAATCTCGGGTGAAGCGATCAAAGTGTGAATAAATGGTTCGATTTTTTCAGCAGCTTTCAAATGTCGATAAGTCATTTGAAATTTATTTTTTCGTCAAATATTAGTGACTGCACTAAATCGTCGCTGCACTTTATGATCAAAAAACTTCTGTGAGAGCTCAAAATCGCATAATTTAGCAGTTGGTATTCAATTCAAGTTTAAATACTAGAAACATGAGTCGATATTTTCCTATAGAAAACGATGTCAATAAAAACATACATTTTTTGTGTTATAGACACTATATTGTATCCGAATTTTTATTATTATTTAAATGAAATGCTAATACACATTTGAGTGATCTACACTTTTTCTTTATCTCGCACTGATACATCGTATTTATTCTTGAATCCTTCCCTATCCCAACCCCCCTTTTTGGGGGGTACTCAACGTCCCCTTGTTAGAATACAAATTTTCTACTGTCACGGGGGGGGGGGGGGAGTGGGTATATATCGCCCAGTTTGAGAATCACATTTCTAGAATAAAAGAGAACGAACGTCTTTAGTACCGATCCTTTATTTCTTAAACTCTTAAATTTTAAAATAGGTGAATAGGTGAATTTAATTTGGGCGGCCTGACATTATGCATAGCAAAATAAAAGTAATTAACTAGGAAATTATAATTGTTGATACTGTTGTTTTAATTTGCAGGTATCCTTTTCCATCGTACCTGAAGGCAGTCGAAGACAATAGTTTCTGCGAGTAATATTTATTTATGGAGGGCCTGATTTAGAAACAAGTCTTTGAGGTTTCGAAAAATTTATGTAGAGAGTTTGTAGAAGTGGTCTATTAATTTTTTAATTTAATATTTTTACAGCACACTAGAAATGACAACTACTAATCAAAAACATGTCTAGTAAAAGAAAGGTAAACCAATCTTAAATAAAAACTTGTTTGAGTTTTAATAATTCTTGAATAAGGTAAATTTTATTACCCTAAAAATAAAGAGTATTTTTTCAATAAATATTAACATCAGTAATGTGAATTTATAATTTGCAAATAAAGATGTCAGTTATTTCTGTTGAACCTTGTTCCAATCATATTTTTCGCTTTCCTGTCAATTCAGCAGTTTTGATTGATTAAAAGATTTAAAATTGTACTCTCTTTACGAGTCCTTTTTTTGGTGTGGTGCTGTTGAGAGTAAAAATGAGAACAGGCAACATCAATGTTGTTAACAAACAGTGCACATTTTAAAGAAAAAGCGAGGTCAAATGATAGAGATCGTATCCTTGGCTCCAGTCTATAGGACGTCCTTGAGTCTACCCAGCTTTGATGGGTACCTTACTCGCAATAGGAAAGTTAATGCGGCTGTGTTTTTTTTATATTTTTAACACTTTACTGACACAACAAAGTAAATATAAAAACAATAAAATCATTTATTGAGACGAAGGTTTTAGACACATTTTACTTGCATGTACGACAGGAAAGGGTACCTGTAGGAATCATTTTGTAATCAATTAATAATAATAAATGCTTTTTACTTTCATTTCTAACTCAAAACACACTCTTACACGCGCAGGAACGCACAAAAACATAAAACACTTACTTATCACATAGGCACCCACACACACATCGTGTCTAACAAATAACATATTCTATAGCCTAGTTTTAAACAAATTCTCAATTGTAACAAGAACAGCTTAAAGCTAAAGTTGAATTATTCCTATCAATTCAAAAGTTTACAAAAGATTACTCTCGTAAAACGAATTTCGTAAACAAACACATTAAACCGAAGTGATCTCCCCTAAACTTTCTCGAATAGGGTAATATAACCGTAAGGAGGTTAAACGTATCGGTGCAATCCGCCTATAGCAAGAAATGTTTTTAATCAATTTTTTAGATACTTAATTGAAAACATTTTTAATTGAATCGAGTAGAAGAAAGAATTGCTCACCTAATGAGAGTAAACATTGTGTGCACAAATGAGCGGAAAGTGAGCACTTTTAAAGAAGTTTTAAAATTAATTTTTGAAAAATTAATAAAACATCTAATTAAGTCAAATTTTATGTCACAGTGTTTTGTCATCGAATCTTGACCTAAGTGAAAAGTTTGAAACATTCAGTCGATAGAAGTGGTATTATTTTAAGGAAATCATTAAAATAGGGTACGTATAAATTTTGGTTCCCGGAAATCGCTCAAAAGTTCATAGAAAATTAGTAATTTAATATAATATTACTATAATAATGTGAAATTTGGTCAACATAACTGAACGTAACCGAAACGGTACTCAAGTTATTAATTCATGATAGTGTCACAAGACACTCATAAACGGATAGGATGCCTCAACTAGGTTTTTCCAACTTCAGAACGTTACAATACGTCAAAATTAGTTAAAACCACGATTTAGATTTTAGCACGACTACCATGCATCCTTTATATTCCGTGTATGAAACTGTGGGGAGGTGTACATTTTCGAAAATTATGATTTAAATACATTTTTTTTTCTGAGGATCTGCAAAACTCATTCGCCCTACTATTCTAGCTTAGCATTCATGTATTTAATCCTACCGTGAGCTTTCCCCGATGTTAACTTTGGGAACGGCCGAGTACTCGTCTTGATTACGATTATTTGCGATGATCAGTAATGAGTAACGAGTACAACCTGAAGGAAATTTAGTAAATGAAATTCTAATAATGCCCCTTTCTTAATAATATTTCTAAATAATTTTTTGCCCTAGACAAAAAAGGCAGAGGAAGTAGAGTTCATCTGTTTCAATGAACAGACTGGATATCGGTATCCGAACTCAAAACTTTCAGAGTGGCACGCCGTCCCATAATTTTCTAAATACGTATCAATTATTTCATCAAGGTCAAATGTTATTAGAAATACACCGCAAGCTTTACCATTAGGTTATCAATGTATTTTCTACGGACAAATTTACCACTAGATTTCTACAAAACTTAGATTTTCGTTGTTTTGCAACTCAAGGACATAGTTAAGTTCGTTATGTTTGTTAATGTTATAGGTTAGTTAATTAATATCTTGAAGGATTGTGCTTCATCCGATACCAAATTGACTTACATTGCTCACTGTATCTGTAGTCTCGAAACTTTTATACTGGATGTTTTAAACAACAACAGAGAAGTTAACAACAATCTCGTCGTTACGAACATTGTCCTCGTTGCCATCTCTTAACACGCAGATTTTGAACTTTGACCTGGCTATTAAAGAAAAATTTGTCAAAAGAGCATTCTTATTTGGAAATTAAAGATACTGTCATTAAGTTAGTGTATGAAGATGTCATGCTTTTTTCCTGCTAGGACAACTTTTGTCTACCTACTCACACAACTTGTGTCTACGTGCTCACACATCTTTTGTCTACGTACTCACACAACTTTGTCTACCTGCTCACACAACTTTTGTCTATCTACCCACACAGTTTTTATATACCTACTCGCACAACTTTTGTCTACCTATTCACACAACCTATGTCTACCTACTCACCCATCTTTTGTCTACCTGACCTCATATCTTTTGTCTACCTAACCCACAATTCATATTCAGCCTTGATTGTGTTTTGATATGCTTTAAAACCTTTAAAATTTCAATTTAAAATCTTGGCAGTAGACACCATTTTTTACTCTGATGCCCCAATATCCAGTTAGTTTCAGAGATTGCTATACCTCCACTATTTTCGATAAATTTATGATAAAATTTGCTAGGCAAAACGTTATTGATATTTCTTTGAAAGTATAATTTTAAAAGGTTCTTGAAATATTATTTTAGAAACAGTTGTTATAAAACTTACCATTTGGAACCTTGCGGAGCAGGTGAAGTAGAATTAATCCGTTTCTGTGTCCTAGGTAGATAAAGGATACTTCATTCAGCATTATGCCCTGCTACCGTTACTTTCAATAGCGTTATTTGGGTACTCATTAAAGCTGGGTCGACTCAAGGACTTTCTTCATGTAATAATGTGCTCTACCATTCGTTCATTTTTTCTGAGGTAGCTGTCAACTCTGAGAGGACTTCGAGTTGAGTATTTCAGCGTGAGTGTGTTCTTCAGTCCTGTAGGTGCTAAATTACTGCATCAGTTCTCTCTCCATCCTGTAGGTGCTATATTACTTCGTCTGTGCTATCACAATTTGTGTAGGTGCTACATTACTTCATCAGTGGTCTCTCCATTCTGTAGGTGCTACATTACTGCGTCTGTGTTATCACAATTTGTGTAGGTGCTACATTACTTCATCAGTGATTCCTCCATTACTGAAGGTGCTACATTACTGCGTCGGTGGTCCCTCTATCCTGTAGGTGCTACATTACTGCGTCCGTTCTCTCTCCATCTCTGATGGTGCTACGTTACTGCGTCAGTTCTCTCTCCATCTCTGTAGGTGCTACGTTACTGCGTCAGTTCTCTCTCCATCTCTGTAGCTGCTACGTTACTGCGTCAGTTCTCTCTCCATTTCTGTAGGTGGTACGTTACTGCGTCAGTTCTCTCTCCATCTCTGTAGCTGCTACGTTACTGCGTCAGTTCTCTCTCCATCTCTGTAGCTGCTACATTACTGCGTCAGTTCTCTCTCCATCTCTGTAGGTGCTACGTTACTGCATCAGTTCTCGCTCCATCCCGGTAGGTGCTACATTACAGCGTTAGTGATCTCTCCATCCTGTAGGTGCTACAATACTGTATCAGTGTTTCCTCCATCCCGGTAGGTGCTACATTACAGCGTCAGTTCTCTCTCCATCCAGGTAGGTGCTACATTACAGCGTCAGTTCTCTCTCCATCCAAGTAGGTGCTACATTACAGCGTCAGTTTTCTCTCCATCCAGGTAGGTGCTACATTACAGCGCCAGTGGTCTGTCCAGCTCCCCAGATGTTACAGTTACAAAAGTGAGTCATTGGGTTTTCCAGCTTTGTCAATATTGCTAAACGCTTGCTAAATATGCATAGTTGATCGAAGTACATTGTGAAACAAGTGTATCTTCAATAAAAATAGAATACATAAAATTTGTCCGGAATAATAAGTAGATCCAAGGTGGTGGTAAAGTTGTGTGAGTTGGTGGACAAAAGTTATGTGATCAGGTAGACGAAAGTTGTGTGATTAGGTAGACAAAAGTTGTGTGAGCAATTAGACAAAAGTTGTGCAAGTAGGTAGACAAAAGTTGTGTGAGCATGTAGACAAACGTTGTGTGGGTAGGTAGACAAAAGTTGTGTAAGTAGGTAGAAGAAAGTTGTGTGAGTAGGTAGGCAAAAGTTGTGTGAGCAATTAGATAAAAGTTGTGCGAGTAAGTAGAAAAAAGTTAAGTGATCCGGCAGACGAAAGTTGTGTGATCCGGCAGACGAAAGTTGTATGATCAGGCAGACAAAAGTTGTGTGAACAAACATAAAAAGTTGCGTGTGAAGGTACACAAAAGTTGTATTAGCAGGTAGACAAAAGTTGTGTGAGTAGGTAGACAAAAGTTGTGTGATTAGGTAGACAAAAAGTGTGTGAGCGGGTAGACAAAATTTGTGTGAGCAAAAAACAGAAAATGGTTGTGTTAAAAGTTAGGCAAACGTTGTTTAAGGAGGTAGAAAAAAGTTGTTTAACCTGGTAGACAAAAGTTTTGTGAGAAAGTAGACGTAAGTTATTTAATCAGGTAGACAAACGTTGTTTGAGCAGGTAGACAAAAGTTGTGTGAGTAGGTAGACAGAATATTGTGAAACTTCCTCAAAATAATACAAGCTGGGTGTCACCAGGTGCTTCGAAGTACTCCCACATGAGAATAAATATACATTTTATCTATAGAATGTGCATTATGAAATATCTTCATGTATGAAAATAAAGCAAATAATCAAACGAAAATTGTAATGTTTAAATATGTATCTCTTCCTTCTTC